AGAGAGAGAGAGAGAGAGAGAGAGAGAGAAAAGCTTTACATATGTAAAGGAACATTATCCCTCCAAAGCAGCAATCCTTATAATAGTTTTTAAGTACAAGCAGAGAAATCAAGATTGAATCTGGGACCCTTCAAAAACTATGTCAAGTCCCAAAGTTGGAACTGTGCACCTAGTGTAAATCAGGACAATTTTTCATCCTAAGTGGTGAATCAAATATACTAACTACCAAGGCTTGTCACTCTAGTTCAGCTGTGAGCACTGGGGCAAGTCTCTCGAGCCCCAGTTTCGTCATACATAAAATGGAGGTAACACTACCACCAGTCCTTCCTAGAAAATGGTGAGTTGCAAATGACATAAGGTTCTTAAGTTATTTTCCTTTGTATTTAGGTACTTGGAGTTATGAGTACAATAAATTCATTTCAATCTGATGTACAGTAATGCCTGGTAGAATGGCAAACTTTTAGAAGTGAGGATGTCTACATGAGTGTATACAATCCTGAGCTCCAAGAGCCTGTAACTGTCCTATTCTCTCCCAAGCCTGAAAAGGGGAGACACGTATGCTCCTGTGCGCCTCCTAGATGATGGGCTACTCTCTTGCTCCAGCCTCTTGTCTTAAGCAGAAAGACTGGTGCCACTGGTACTGCATTTAATTTGGAGAAGGAGATGATTAATACGAACGGATCACAAACTGGGTCAGGAGAAGCCTCAATGTATAAAATGATTGAAAGTCTTCAAAATAAATGATTTGAAGTTAACCAATATTTAGAGATAAAGGAAAATTAGTGATCATATTAACAAGTTTTAAAATTCCTATCACAAAGTAAGCTTTCTTACTTGAGTGCTGAAACTTTTTCTTTTAATTCTTCTGAGGTAATTTCTTCTAGTAGGAAAAGTTTTGAAGTAAATGCATCAATATGACCTAAAATAAAATATCAAACTTAAAAAGAATAATTGCAATATTTAAAAAACGAAAAGTTAGTTATCCAGTCTCTTTAAAGATGTTTTCATGAAACTGTAATAACTGTAAAGAAACTTTACATTCCAAAAGAGGAGTTTTACGTTTATTAAATAAAGCTGTATTTTAAAATGACATAAAAAGTTGGATTATAAAAGAAATATATAGCAATTCTAAAAAATGTGCTGAATGTAGAAAGGTTACACATGTCCACACCATAAAAATAAATAATCTCTAAACCCACAATTGAAGAATAACTGTTAAAATACTATTGTTTCTAGGGCCGGCCGAGTGGCGCGATGGTTAAGAACTGGCTTGGGACACCAGAGGGCCCCGGTTCGGATCCCACATATGAGGGCCAGTGACACTGNCGGATCCCACATATGAGGGCCAGTGACACTGCCCTCTACAGCTAAGATGCTGAACAACAGCTCAACCTGGAGCTGGGCTGCCATGAGTCGCCAGCGACGGGCGTAGGCTGCAGCCCCTGCTGCAGTGGGTTGCCATGGGCTACCGTGAGTAGCCAGCAGCCAGCGTGAGCGGCCAGCAGCCGCAGTGAGCGGCCGTCCAGAAGCCGGTGACTGATCTGCCTCGCCCAGGAAGGGCGCAATGATAATACCAATATGGGCCAGTGAAGCAACATCCTCCCCACAACTAGACTGAAGAACAAAAGGATAGTAACTTGTCTGTTCCCCTTCCCCCAATTCCCCAATAAAAATCTTTAAAAAAAAAAAAAAAAGGAATAGGCCACTCCACAGAGAATTATGTGTTATATGTAAGAAACTATCATCAGACTTTCTAAATCAAAAGTAAATCATTATTCTAAATAGAACATAAAGCCTTAAAAAAAGTTTTCAATTATTGTTTTTAAGTTAATTAAAATTGTGCCTTAGGAGGTTATAAAAACCACTACTTGTATTAAATCTAATTGGAAATAGCCAACCAAAACTTTAGGTAAAATGGCTTAAAATGCTAACTGTTAACTTTCTTCTTTCTTTCACTTGTATCAACTAGTTAACAACATTTATATATTTTCTTGGGCAAAGTTAACTAAGAATGTGGAAGGAGTTCTCATTTCTAAAAGGATCCTCCCAAACAGTAACATTAGGGTAGAGAACTGAAAAACAGAAACAATCCCATTCACTGTAAATTAAAAAAAAACACCACCACCAAACTTCAGTATTTGGTATTCCAGCTATTTCTCAAAGGCTTAAGTACAATTTACAGATTAATTTAATATAACATAGAAAGAAAAAAGAACAGAAAATACCCATAGGACACACAAGTGATAGTTATTCTGGGACATACATATTGAGATTATAGAACTGACATAATATTGACTCAAAGGTTTTTGGCAGCAGGGAAGGAAAATATACTTGGGTTTTTGTTTCTTGAACATTTCGATTCAGATTTGTAGAGAACAATTTTTACTACAACTAAACTCAAATTGTAAGTTCTTACATGATATAAAGAATGAGTGACATGGTATTTCTAGCCATGGCTTTATAGAAGTTTCATATTGAGAAAAAGCATTCAACTGGTATTTCTGGGAAGGGGTCTACAAAGATAGTAACATTAATTATAACTCAATAAGTACTGAGTTATACAATACATAGCAAAACACAATTTAGTCCATAACATTTTATTGTACTTTTAATAAGGCTCTGCAGTTCCTAATTACTAACACTTGTTTTTATATTTTTCCATATCCTACTTATCAATTTTTAATTGTATCATTTTTATTACATGTATTCTTCTATAAATTGTCTCAAATATTTAATGAAATGAAGCAGTATCATAAATAAAAATTACAAACAACATAACTTTGCTTTGCGTAGAAACACAGGGATTTAATGCTTTGCGTAGGAACATAGGGATTTAATTATGTCAATGCCTTACTCATGTCCCTGCTGGGCAAGTTAGTAGAATTTTCTTTAGTTGACTTATAAACCTTACAACATAGAAAGTTCCCTGACATAATGACTGGATTCAGTAGCGCTTACATAATCTACCCTTCCAATGGGTATAGTTTTTAGAATGGTGTTTTGATAAATATAGCAAACATGGACATCAAGTTGAAATACTATATAGTCAGTGAAGCAGATTCATAATAAACAACCTAATGGAAAATTTAATTTGAAAAAAGATCTTACCTTTTGTTGTGCTGTGGGACCTAGTGATTTAGGTGGAAAAGTACAAGGTATTCTTCCATGATAGATATGATATGGTAATAACAGACTGGGATCTAGAGGAACCCAGGGAACCGAGAGACTGGAAGGTACACCAGGAAGGCTGCAATGTGTTTTATGCAAGTTGTATGCTGTCCTAGTCACTTTTCCATCGGAAGTCTTGTAGATCCGGAGTGAAGCATCTTCTGCTGCATGAGACAACAAGTAGGAACCCTCCTGCAAGCTAAACCCACACAATGAAACTCAACTCAGTGTCAATTTCAACAGCATTTTCTTAATCATGGTCTACTAGTAAAATTGAAAACAATTATGGGAATGGAGTACCACCTCTAAAAATACTTTTATGATCAAACAAGATTTAAGAGGTCTTTTAAATTATTTTATGCCTTTTAGGCAACTAATTTAAATTCTTACTCCAAAGTTCAGGATATATAATGATTTTCTTTTTACTCTCATATCAGCAAATTTACAAGTTTTCAATAATTTAATGGGAAACAAACAATATGCCTAATTCTCTAATCCATGGACAACATATACTGATAAACACTTCATGAGTGTACATATATCATAGCATTCCTATACAGTGCATTTTAATTCATTTAACAAACATTGTATCTACTTTTTATCTAGTAATAGGTGAATAGAGATACAAAAGTAAGTGTGACACACTCACTACATTGAGTAGTTTAAAATAAGGCAGCAAAAACAGTCAACGGAACAATCACAATACAATATGAGGTGCTAGGAGACTAATATTGGGCTGTCGGAAAAGTCATGAAGCATTTTTGCAATGAAAAACAGAAAAAAATACGTCATGACTTTTCCGACAACCCAACAAACAATAATAGCTGATAGGTATTGAACGTTTATACTGTGCTTACTATTGTTGTACTGTTTACATCCATTTTGTTACTATCCTCCACAACAAACCTTCAAGGCATAATATTAATTATTAAGCCCATATTAGAGATAAACAGAAATTAGAGATGGTAAGCAATTTGCCCAAAGTTCTGAGTGCAAGGCTTGGACAGAAACTCAGACAGTCGCACTCCACAGTTTATACCCTTAATCATGACCTCTACTGTTACAATGATCAGTTCTGTCAAACATCAAATCTACATTTTCCCTTTCTCCTTAGAAAGCTTCAAGAAATTCAGTGTATCAACATAAAGAGCTAAAAGGACATGATCACTATACTGTGCTTTCTTAGGATTTTACACTCTTCTAGCTCAAAAGTGCTAAGAAGAAATCAGTTTTTCCCCACAATATACCATTAAAAAGAAGAATTAATCATACTTTGGTTATATGGATCTACCTACAAACCTGGTAAGTTACATTTTCATTATTTTTTTTTAAACAGAAAAGTAATAGGTTCTGACAAAGGAGGTACAGAAAAATATTCTTATCCTCTGGAGAATTTCCCAAATGATCACTTTCATATTTCCATATAAGGAAATGAAGGATAGTTGATTTGGCAGTGGAAATAAATAACATCCTAAAGATTGAGTTTTCATCAATGAAAATCATATGTCTTAACGAGCTTCACCAAAAATGAAGGCGACTTTGGTTTACAGACAGAATTCATAAAAAATGAGACACTCCAAGGAAGCATATCTTAAAAGTGCCATAAAAGTGCAATGCACACAGATGGACACAAACTATGGTAGCCTGAATAAATGGCCTCCCCAAAATGCCTATGTCCTAAACCCTAAAACCTTACATTAAATGCAAAGGGAAATTAAAACCAAATTAAGGTTCATAATAAGCTGATTTTAAAATGGTAAGATTTTCCTGGGTTAATTCAGTGGGCCCACTGTAATCAGAAGAGTCCTTAAATGTAGAAGAGGGAGGCAGAAGAGACTCAGGAAATGTGACTGCGGAAGAGATCAAAGTGATGTGATGTGAGGAGGATTCAACCTGCCTTTGAAACTTTGAAGATGGAGGAAGAGGGCCATCATCCAAGGAATACAGGTGGCCTCCAGAATATACAAAAGACAAGGAAACAGGCCATACCCAGAGCCTCACAGAAAAGAATGCTGCCCCACTGACACCCTGATTTTAGCCCAGGGAGACCTGTTAGACCTCAGACTTGTACAATTGCAAGATAATAAATTTCTGTTGTTCTACAACACTAATTTTGTGGTAGTTTGTTACAGCTGCAGTAGAAAACTAATAAACAAGTAAGATATTGGTAATAAAATTTCAAAAAGCATTTGGCAAGTTTCATGTATAAGTATTGTGTTTCACATGAAGAACAGAGCATATAAAACAAAAATCCTGCCATAGAATCACAGAATCTCAGAGCTGAAAAGTACCTAGGAAACTGCTGAACTCAACACCATAATTTTATAAATAAGGAAACTTACATGTACGCATAGTTGCGTAATAAGAGTTAGAATCTTGAGATTTGTGACTTTTAGTAGACTCTTAAATTGTTTTTTTAGTTTATATTTTGGTAAGGGCATAACCAAAGAGATGCAGAAGTTCACATAAAATAGTCTGATAAATGATCAGGTGAAGAATCCATAATTTGCCACGGACATAATGGCTTTTGATCACTAGCTCTATGTTGCTTCCTTGTCCTGCAAATGTAAACAATATAGCTATGGTAGGCTGAGTATTGTTCCTCCAGGATGTCCACATCCTAATCTCCAGGACTTGTTAATGTTACCTTTAATGGCTTTATATATGTGATTATAGATGCAATGTGACAACAGCAGCAGAGATTTGAGCGGGTGCGCTTTGAAGATGGAGGAAGGGGCCACAGGACAAAGAAGAGAGGTAGCCACTAGAAGCTGAAAATCAAGACAAGGAAATGATTGTCCCCTCAGAGCCTCCAGATGGACCAGCTCTGCTGACCCGAGTTCAATACAGTGAAAAGGATTTCAGATTTCTGACCTCCAAAACTATAAGAGAATAAATTTGTGTTGTTTTAAGCCTCTTTTTAAGTCTGTGGTAATTTGTTACAGTGGCATTAGGAAACCAATACAATATGCCTTACAGAAAAATGTAAATGATATTATCATTTTATATATTTATATTCACAATTTCAACTTTGACACAATAAATTTAGCATTTCCAGTTTATATTGTATCTATTCCTAACAACATATATTCAAAGTTTCTATGAATTTTCATCCAAGAAAATCAGACATATCAACGCAAACTATCCAAAAAATACTTACCTACTTAATTTCTTTAGAATGTGTTGGAGGATATTAAACAAACTTGAAATCCTATTAAATAGAAGAAATCCATGTAAAATTAAACAATAACAAAAAAACTTACTCTGAACAATTATAGCTCCTCAGATAAATGCCCTCAATAGCAAAAACAACAACAGACGAGATAATGTAAAACACACAATACCAAAATTTCTAATTTGATTAAATTATAATATTTATTTAATTTTTATGCCATTTCCTGATAGTCCTTAAAATCATAAAGTATTTGGCTTGTTCAAGTAAGAGCAGTCATCAAGAGATCACTATTTTACTTCAAATTATAAACTTTTAAAAATATTCAGAAGTCTTTATCAGAACTAACTTGCAGACGAGTTTGCTTTTTACAGATGGTGGTGAATAAGCTTCCAAAGAAATTGAGAGGAGCTTTAAATGTCTGATGCCAGAGAAGCCACTGATTAGGGGCAGGATAGTTAAGGAGAAATAAAATATGAAGTATTTCTTTGGTTATCTCTTCAAAATCTAAACTCATGCCCTTTACTATTTATTTAAAAATAGTTTTCACTGGGAGGGGAGGGGCAGGTGGTGAATAATATATAGAAAAACTTTACATATGTTAATATGTATGTATATATATATATATATATATGTATATATATATATATATATATATATA